ACAAAGTGTGCACTTACCCAAAAGTTGACGGTTCATCGACGGTAAAACCAAAGCCGATCAAAGCTGTGTCCATGTGTGTATCAATAATTTTCCGATTTGTGAAAAACCAATGCAATTTCAAATTTCCGCTGATGGCCCACATTTTGTGTGATTATAGACTTCACTATTTTCACACACAACAATTTTCAAACCAACCCCCAAATACAAATTTCACTTATTTCAACACTGCTACGACCGCTACGACACCAAGTGCAGCGATGAGACTTCTTGGAGTATCTCACCGGCTACGACTCTTTGCCACATATCTTTGAGGTCAAGACTCTTTGCACCATGACAGAATGTGTTAACCATGTCTGGCTCTACTGTGGGATCACTTCAAACACGCTTCGACCAACGAGCTGTCATGGTTAAAAGCTGAAAAACCATGGTCCATCGGGGAATCACCATGGTAAAGGAAGAAAGATCTGGAAAGATAACCATGGTACATCATGGTTATTTTAGCCTGGGAGTGCTCATCGGTCAGGTTGAACATTTAAAAGTGTGCAACACACCTGTTGAACACTTCCAACTATTCAAAACTCGTGTTGCACACATAGAAGTGTGGGACACGGTGTTAAACACTTTAAAGTGTGTGTCAGTTGCACACTTTATATATCAGTGTGATGATGTGATGATGATGATATTTGTGATGATGATGCTGAAAATGATGATGATGATTATGGTATTGATGATGAGGGTATCGATGATGATGATGGTATTAATGATGATGATGTTGGTTAATAATGATGATAATGGTGATAATAATCTAAGAGTGAAACCTGAACAGTGTAAATCGGCGGGGGTCTCGCTCCAGCAGCAGGGCGGCCAATCGTAATCCCCAAGCAGCCCCTGTAGAGCATGTTGCCTGTGAACAGGTAAGCCGGGTAGAGAGGCCGATCTGTATGTCGGGAGAAGGAGGTGGGGAGAGGGGGAGGGGGAGGCATTGGGAGCGCTGTGAGGGGCCTCCCTCCTGGCCTGCTGGGGGGCCCTTTCGGTCACACCCACGGCCGCCCCCGCCGCCCCCGACACACGTTCATTCACTCAGCAAAGTAATCACCCGGCCGACGCCACCTTCGGGCCGAGATTGGATAGGGGTGGCAGCGGAGATGAGAGGGGAAAGGCCCCCCCCCCTTCCCCCTCCCCCCCAGAGGGAATTCGCACCGTGTCCAGTCAAGTAAGTGAATAAGTGAAAATTAGATCACGTTCTAGCCGAGAGCATCGGACAGTCTAATCGACTTGTGTATACGCGAAGAACCCTTCTAATGTTGACATGGTCTCTTCTTCTTTGTCTCCGTCTCTTTTGCCCCGACTCTGTCTTTCTTCTTGAACCCCCTTCACTGTTAAAAATAGAGTCGTAAATTTACAAAATTTTTGTAAACTCGTATTATAATTTAAGTTATAAATTTACGAGAGCATATTTTTTACTCGACAATGGATTTGAAGTCGATACGTACTGCATGTAATTTTACGATTCCAAATTGTATTTTTACAACTTGCGTCAAGGAAAATTTTACTCTAAACCTACCTACTATTTTTCACAGAGTTAAATCATACGCGAATGCCACTCCTGCCTCACATGACGAACGATGGGATACGTTAGTAGGATTTCAGGAATGTTTGCTTCGTTCGTAGATTATTCTCGAACACCAAAAATTTCAAAACTATTCGCAAAGCTAGCCTCACGAACAAAAGTTCACCACTGCACGGCTTTGAAAAGCTTTACCTCTGGTGCAACGGGATGACTGCTGTCTCTCTCCCTCTCTCCCTCTCTCTCCCGTGGGCGCCCCCGCGCTCTGGCCACCATGCCCCAATCTTTTGCTCTCTCTCCTCGCAATAAACCTGACATCTCGCGCTTTCTGGGACGCGCGACGCGAGCAGCCTCCACATATGTCTGCCTTCCACAAAACACACACCGTCTCCTGCGAAATCACGTTAGCGAAAGTTGCTTTCCTTCGCAAAAATCCACCCCTGGCGTCCTCTCTGCTCCCGTCAACTGAGGAAATCCGAGATTATACGAACGTCACATACAACTGTATCATATATGAGAGTATAAATTAACCCAGCTGCCTAGATGTGCCACAACTCATTCAAACTCTTGCACATCCACGGCAATGTGAGTCCTTTCGCTCACCTACAAATCCACTATTACGTTCGTACACTGGAAGTGTTCAAGGAGTGATGAAATGTCATCGATGATCCAGAATCCTAACGAAAACGTCGCTGCCGTGCCCCGAGGTAAGAGTGACGAGATTGGGAGAATCGTGTCGCCCTACTGAGGCCATTATTTTCAGCCGTTTCAGCCAACCCCCC